ATATCATGTTCCTGAGTTATTATAATGTCGTGAAACCATATTTCTAAAAAATCATGTCTATGGTATTTATTTGACCTCAAAATTTTCACACTCTCTCTCTTCATCCTAATAATCAAACTCAAGGAAAATAAAATTCAATTTGTACTCTAAATAAAATCAAAATGAGTTCCCGTAATCTAAACCATCCATTTGATGAATTTCAAGATCAAGGCCTTCACAAATTCAAAATCAATTTATTTTATTTTTTTAACATCCGTAATCTATTGAGAATAAAACTATCTAACAATTTTGAAAAGGAAAAAATTCCTTATAGGTTTTAGATCTAAAAATCTTATTAAAATGGACAGCTTATATTAATCGCCCAAAAAAACAATGTTTTAGAGTGTGTTTTCAAATTTTGCTTTTTGATGATTGTTCAATTTTGCTTTTGTATAATTATTCATTGGAATTCAAAAAAGGCAAAAACAAGGAGATTTCGATTAGATGGAGAGAGGGAGAGAGAGTTGGGAGGTAGCAAGGACTTATTGCAGGTGGGAGTGAGCAGGGTTTGGCTATAAAGAGAGAGGAAGAGAGTTGGGTTGACCAATCGTATGGATCAAGGGTTTGGGTTGTGCCTTTGCAATTGGGCGAGAGAGAGAGAGCGGAGTTGCAAGTTTGGGGGAAAGAGAAAGCCTAGGTGCCGGAGGGAGAGATAGTTGATTTTGGAGAAAATATATTCATCTCCCTTATTTTTAGGTTTCGTTTCTTGATAAACTCAGAGTTTCAAAAGATATCTTCAAGCTCCTGACGACTTTAAACATATTTTTTAAACTAAATAAATGTGAGAAAGACATGCTTTTTCTAAACTCAATCGTTTCTCTTCTCCCGTGTTTCTCCAAACATCTATCTCTTTCCTCTCAGTAACCTCTCACCTCCATAAAGCCCTTCTCTCTAGAAGTTTGGGAGGGTGGCTTTCATAAAAAACTTGTATTTTTAGATTTGTTTGACCTAAAAAAAACAAGGTTAAATTAGCTCACGGGGTTAAAAGAAATAAAGTCTACAATTTTTATGCCCCAAGATATCTTTTAAAACCTTGAGACTATTGTGAAATGAAACTTAAAAATATGAACTATCGAAATATTTTCTCATTATTTTATTATTTATTCCTTGCTATGCGTGTTGGTGGAATGGAGCATATTTTATGGTTTAATTTCAGGTCTAGTAGGAAAAGGAACCCGGGAAGTAGCTCTGCACCTTGTGAGGTAGGGAGCCATTTTCATATGGACACGGTTTTTATGAGTCCATGTAGAAATGAGTCACTTCTTAAAAATCTATTTTTGAGAATGTAATCTTAAACATGGAGATCATGAATATGAAAAACAAATAAAAAAAATAAAAAATAATAATTTCGTTAACAAAACATTTGGACCATTAGTTTCAATTGTTTTTAGATGGACCACCTATTTGCATCCATGGATGCAGTATACCTTGGGACTGCATATTATAGAAATGCAGTGCAGCCCACATGAAACAATTTTCCATTTCTTATGGACAGAGCCATTTTATGGTAAAAAGCTTTTTCTATGGGATGTATTTCCACAAGTTACCGGCACAAATGTCTGTTTAACCTCAAATTTTAGATCAAATACCTATATGGGACTGTTTTCGTTCGACAAGTGCTTGACACTCAACATAACGGTTCACAGACTCATTCAATGCAGTCGCACAATGCTTCCTTCAAGTCATAAGTTCTGCTTCAGGAGGTTATCGTAAGCAGCATCAATGTGATGGACATCCTGCTCAAGCTGCTCGGTATATAAGGTTGCTCAGATGAACTCTCAGTGATCTGCCCTCCCTTAAAAATCATCTCATTGGCAGGGAGGGAGAACGATCCTAGTGGCAACCACACCTGATGGGGAGAGCATAAGACTATAAAAACCAGTGATCAGAAGATTGGCCAATTTTTGATAAATCTGCTGACTAAATCGGGATTGGTCATTGGTCGATCCTGAGTTGGTCCGATTCCAAAGGTTATGTATTCTGAAATTTTCATTCAGTGAACTAATCGGCCTATTTATTGTACTAATCGATACTAATCGGCACACATCGGCTGATTTGTGCACTTATCAGCGATTTGTTATAAAGGATCGCCCGATTTGTGTACTTATCAGCGATTTGTTATAAAGGATCGCCCGATTTGTGCACTATTATAGTGAAAAATCTTTAAACACTTGAAAAATCTAAAAAATTGACGGTCTAAAAATAGATTGCAAAATGGACTATTTTGAAGACTTGGAATCTATTTTATCTCGTGTTCATACATCTTGAGGTCAAGATGATTGATTTTGAGGATTTTTTTAGCATCAAAATAACTTTTAATGGATTTTTGAGGTGGGCCTTAATTTAGTTGTCGCCCTAAATAAACTTTTTCCATTATGGGTTTTAAGAGGTGTAGTTTGTATAAGGCTGAGGCCCTAAACAATCAAAGTAAGGCGCACCTTCAAATAGTGTTGAAAGATGTTTTGGTACTAGAAATCTTTGTGATGGCCTGAAAATTTGCTTTTATATCTAATTATAAAATATAAAGCTTGAAAATAATGTAGATCGAGTATATATATGAACACTTGAAAATATTAAAAATTAACGGTCCAAAAAATGTATCAATGATGCAATGTTTCTGAGACAAGAAATCTAGCTTTTCTCATGTTTATATATCTTGAGGTCGAGATGATCGATTTGAGGATTTTTTGAACATCGAAACACCTTTTCTAGTAAATTTTTTTTTTCTTAAGTAGGTCAACGGTAGGTATCAAACTTGAGATATAGCACTACTAAATGGCAATTGCTAACTAATCAAGCCCAATTACTACATTGATATGGCTAAGTAACCATCATTAGGAGTGCAGCGGATATTCAATGTACTATCATGACAACGTATATTAGATTTTCATATGGTTGTTTTTTACAGTTTGCTTAGTTGTCCCAAACCGTTAGATGCCAACAATGGATGGTTGGTTGGTGCTCTTTCTCTGCTCAAACAATGAGGGCATCGATTAGGCTCACGACGGTGATGATGTGGAAATACGAGATGATAGGTATGAGCCAACAGTTGTAGAGTGTGAGGTGTCGCAAGGTATTAGGACCTCCATTGCGAAAGAAAAGGGACTTAGCTTAGTTCGGGAAGAAGTCGAAAGAGCTAGACATAATAACTATACCTTTGGACAGAGACAAACAGGTCACAAGCATCGTAGGCTAATTATTCAAAACATTGATAAGGGGCAAAACACATTCCAAGGAGGCGATGAGCATGAACAGATTCAAAGTCTAGGTAATTATAGCCTAGAAAATTTGTAAGATAGTATTCCTACTTGGTAGGGAGGTACTGCTGCTGCCCTCGGGCTTCACGGCGATTTTTCTCCCTGACAACGAAACTCAAGAATAACTCGAACCCCATCGTCAATCTTACTACTTTTGAGCATTGTTTTTAACTATTGTGTAATATCATATAATCTCTTTCAATTACTAATGCACTGAAAAGGTCTTGTTTTATGTGCTTAAAAATTTTCTCTGAAACCCAATTATGTCTAGAATATTTTTTTTTTGTTTATCTTATTTTATGTGACAATATAAAAGACAACTATACAAGTAAATTTTAATTTTTTTTTATAATTTTTCGGAATTTTTTACCCAATTTATATTTTTCAGTAATAGTCGGAGCACTAATCAACCAATTTAGTGGAATCGGTCTGACTAATCGGATCACGCTAGGACCAACCAGTCAATCCGATTCTTTCTTTTGAACATCGCTACAAATAGCCCCTCGAGGTCAAGGTCAAGGGCATCAAAACTTGAAGACTCTGGTTGGAATGATCGGCGATGATAGTTATAGGGGATCGCAGGGCTCATGAAGCATAACAATGGAAGAGTCCGGAATTAACAGACCTTGACTCTTTACCTTGGGATGGGAGAGACGCTGCATATAAATGCGTGTATCTTTACTCATCATTGTTTCTCAGAACTACAAAAGCATTGGCCAAAAAAATGTAGTTACGACCAAATCTAAAGAGACCGAAACTCCGAATTTATGCTTTCAATAAAATAATTAATTTTTTTAATAGAGAATAGCGGATTCTGTAGAATTACAGTACATGAGAAGATAGATCTGTGGAGTAGATTTCTCCTCATACATCGTCAGTAGGACCGGTTTGAAATCACGTAAAAACCAAATAGAAATCAATAAAACTTAAAATAGAAAAGAAAGTAGGAAAACCGTTCAAAGAACAATAAGCTGAAAAAAAAGAAAAAATTCACCAAGGCGATGCCAACTGGCCTGGGACACTCGATACTAGAGTTTGGACTCATATCGGACCCCAGTTTGATTTACTCCTTTTTCTCTCTCTTCTCTTGATGAATTTACTGAATTTGTACCGAGTTTATACCTGGAGCGTGTTTTTTCCTAGGACTTTGGTTTTGCTTAGGTCATGTTCTCTTTTAAATTAGGGTTTAATGATTGTCCATGGTTGTATAGAATTGGAGTTGTTGAGAACTAGGATCAAGTCTCCTAGGGTTTTCTGGGGTTTCTAGGCTCTAGGGTTTCTCTATCCTGAAGCCCTTTCTAGCCTAAGGGTTCTTTGTAGGAATTAACTTATAAATTATGGGAGACTAGAGTAGGTATTTTATAGGCTTCAATTAGGCAAAACCCAATTGGGATTATGACTTCTGGGATTTATCTCTAGGCTTGACTTTTGGCCAAGAATTCAAAATTCTAGGGCTACCAAAACTCCAAAATCTTAAGAAATCTCAATCCGAGACTTAAAACCAGAGGAAGCATCTATAGAGAGAAGGATTTATCTAGCCTAGACCGGGCTCTCCGAAAAAATCTAGAGGCGATTGGCTTCAACAACGTGGGGTGTGACACTGAGCTCGCTCCACATCACTTAGCCATAACCTTGATAGAATTGCCCCGAAGGTCAAATTGAGTTTGGCAGTGGTGGTTTGAACGAAGTTTGATGCCGCTTTAGGGTCAAGATCCACAATTTTTTGTCTTTTTGTAATCATGATTAATTTTTCGATAAATCTAAACAAATTTGGCTCGATTTGGGTAAATCAAGGTAGATTTAGCAGTTTTCCAAAGGATTAGGGACTATAGATTATGCTGCAATAAGGTTCACTAGGCTTATAGTCCCTAGGGTTTATTTAACTATTCTGAGGTATTTTCCCAGGGTTATAGAAATTTAGTAATACGCTAATTTCAAGATTGGGTGTCTAAAAAATGGCTTTAGCGCTGCATTATAAATAGGCACAATAAGCTTTTTCGCACCAAGGCCTGAGCAAAACCAGGTGCAACTGACAGCTAGTCGCATGCAATGAATGCAGTCACAAGCGGCTGAAACCACATGCCCTCAAGCTTGACACACAATCCCATGCGGTCCAACACTAACCATAAGCTGTGAACACTGACAGGTCCTGCCAGAAGAGTAGCAACAGATGGGCTATGTAGTGTTGTATGCACCACCCACTTATGCAGCACAGTGCAAAACTGATCAGGTTCGAGTGCTCCCTAATGCATTCAAACGTCGACTGGGGAGAAACCACCCCTCAAATGCACATGCCAGCTGGGAGTACAATAGACTAACCCCTCCAAGGATTTGTAAAAGGACCATTGTCAATCAGCCGATGGACATGTCTTGATCACCACTTTAATCAGAGCAGTTCATCCATAACTATACTTTGCCCCATAGATGCCACCAACATATACTTCTAAACACCAGTTTTCCAAAACAGTAAAAAAATTTAAGATCTGCTTGATAAATATCTGAAATGGAGTGCTACTCTAGTAACGATGTTAGTCTCATTCATTTGTATTTTGGGCCATACCTGATATTGAAATACAACACAATAAATCGAGGCAAAATCTACCTAAACCTACACACGCCTTCCTAAGCCGACATCTTCTAGGAAAAACTTGTTTATCCTCTCTGACAAACCTTTTCTTCGTTCAATCTAGAATTCGGTCAAAACTCTACAACATTCTTGCGCTGTTCTCAGTTCTTTCCCAGTCTTGAGGATAACATCATTCCCTCATCCACGTCGTAGCATGACAAGGATCCAATAACCTGCTAATCTCGAGGATGACAATGTTCCCTTCGTATCGGAATGGTAGTGTTGGGGTGACACCATTCCCTCGGGCATCTAATTCACAACAGTCAAGAGGATCCAGTTGCATTTCATTTTCTCTACTTTCAGGTGTCCAAATCTTTGATGTTCACTAAATCTGATGGTCTGGGATAAACATTAAAGGGGGGTGCTTGTAGACAAATAAGTTTTGACCTGTATTACCGAATGGTTTGAAAGATGTTTCATGTCCCAGACCACGTACAAAACCTCGTGAAACCATAGAAGCCTATCTAGAAACCGTAGGACCACCATTTTGCTAGCACAATGCCCATCATTTTCCATAGGAAAACCAACCCAAGAGACTTTTCCGACTGTCCTGACTGACTATCAAGAAAACATTAACCCAAAAACCAAACAATTCGGACAACTTAGAGAACACAATCAACGGCCATCCTACTATGGCTAACAAACAACAACTTGTGCCTATTACAGCTGCTTGCGGCTGACCTACAACTGCTTGCAGCCATATGACCTCCTGGGGTCAATCGTCGGGTGTCAGCACCCAACGTATAGTTTTATATGACCTCTTCTGGTTGCTTGCAGCCGATGTACGACCGCTTGTAGCCAGATGACCTCTTGCAGCCAATCTCAGCTGCGAACGACCAAAATATTGTTGCCTGTGGCCGAAGCTTGGCCATAATTTGTCAAGAAGTGATTGCAAGGCCATGCAGTCATGGTCCTGCTGCCGCATGTAGCCACCTTGTCTCCACTGCCCTGGGAGCCCATCCCCACTTGGGAACTTGGGGAGAAGGCAATCACTGATCATAGAGCAGAGCAACAACACCCATTATAAGGCAAAGACCTCAAAATTCGCTGCTTAACAGACCTTTCTCAACTTTCAGCAAATTACTACGAAAATTCAACTATCCCAACCCCCAAAAGCAACAACCCTGTATCCAAATAGTCAAAAACCATGCCCCTCCCAGCTCATTCACCAACCGCTTCCTATGTCAACTACTGCTGATCAGTCAATACTCTGACTTTAAGTATAGTACGGGTCATCCTCTATAAGGACAAATCTACATTTCTGGTAACTTCATTCTGTTACATACTCTCACCAGATAACTGTAGTGAAATCCATTTCTCAAAGCTAGATCTGATTTTCTGAAACAAATTGCCGAGGTAGTGTGATGGGGTAACCCAATACATTTTTGTTCGACTTCTTTACCTCTGAGTCCCATTATCGGAATCCCCTCAGGTCATTCTAGTCCTCTCGAACAAAATCCCTGGGCTGTAGCTCCACTTGGGGAACCCTCTTGTTCCCACAGCCCTCAATGGGTAGGGGAAAATGCCGAGGGGCATATAAAACAACCCCCAAAATAATATTCTCAAGCATTCTCTTCTTCTTTTTCTTTTTTCTTTTTTTTTAAAGAAATAGATGCCCTTTTCAAATAGGAAGCAGATGTAGTTCATCCTCTCTGATAAACATTTCTAAGCGACAGAAACCAAAGAGAAATAATGGAGTAAAAAAAGAAAGAATGAGAAGAAAAATGTGCTCCAACCCAAATATTTCGGCATAATAGAAATAAAAAGGGTAAATGTTTTAGCCCATGCCTCAAAGTACCAAGCCCTATTAAGAAACATGAAATTCTTCCATCATGCGAGCCCTCATCATCTACCACAATAACCTCAAGGTCCTTCCATCTCACAGTGATCCCTTCAACTACAATGACGACGTCAGAAAGGGGAAGGTTCTAGACATTACTATCATCAGATAGAAAAAGGAATCTAGAGATATTGAAAACAATTACAAAGGGTCTTAAGAGAATATTCTAATGAGCAAGCACATTCGGATTCATGTGTCATCTTTCTCAAGGTAAAATCGCCAACACGATAGGTCTGAGTTGCAGTGCAGTCCGTGCATTAGGAAAAGAAAGAGGTCAGCAGTTCTCTCCATGTCTATCGTGAAATGGAGCTAATGCCCATTCTATGTAATACGCTGTAGATTGACCCTCAAAAGGAACTTTAGAGCTATTATCTGCAACAAACACACCTCCCCTAGCACATCCTCAAAAATGCATGAAATTATCTGCAGCTTTGAAACATCAGCAGTTAAACTACTTTAACAGGAGGAATATCTAGAAGAACAACACAACTCTTCCATTAATGGCTCCTATACCAAATCAATGTTTCAAACCAAATTTATCAATACAGAAAACATTAAAATCTTATGCAACAACAAATATGATTCACCTAAAAACATGGAGCATGAAGAGCAGACCTACAATTGTATACGGTAGTTAAAATGAAGGAGCATTGTCAGAGAAGGTAGGGGAGAGAGATCTGGAAACAATTGTACACCAGTAGTTAAAATACATTCCTAGTATGACAAATAAACAGGTAAAACACCAAAAGTACCAACTATATCAATGCAGTAACTTAACTATTCAAAGTCTACTTTAACTTGAGGGATACATTGAGCAACAGATCTTTGCCGCATGACTCCCATACCAACTCCATGTTTCGAACCTAGTTTATCAATATAAAACAAAGAAACACTAGAGGCCCATGCAGGCAATTTTATAATAGCAGTTGTACAAGTACATTCATTCATGGTATTTCATATAAACATGTAAAATATCCAAACTACCAACTATAACAATGCAAAAACTTAGTGAAATCCTAGGGAACAGGGGTACTTCAAACCCAATGTTCAACCAGAATTCTGGAGGTCATTAAATACCCGGCATCCAACTTTTGCAGTTAATGAACACTTTTAGATGCCTCTGTAGTAAAGAAACCATGAGAAGAAGAACAGAGAGAGAGAGAGAGATTGGTCCAGGTTTAGAAACTAATGGGTTGTTTGGGCCCCTGGATACGCAAATCCTGGATATGACTCAAAACCTGGTTATGCAGATTCTAGTATATGTAAAAGCTGATTTTGACAAGAATGATGTTTGGCTGGCTGCTGGAAGAACCAAGTATATGAAAAATACCCAGTTTGGCACCATGAAGATGGAAACCAGGTTTTGGCTGTTTGTTGTTAATGCAATTATTTATTCTATAAGTTGATGATTCCCTAGTAATACAAGTCCAATAAAAAAAAATTTCTCGGAAAAAGTTATCAATAATATAACAAATAAATTAAACAGTTCCGATCATTTTTTTCGATATTTTTATAGGTCGAATTATGACTCTCTCTCTCTCTGTGTCTCTCTCTCTCTCCCTACATGACCTACAATAAGTTATTCCCAAATTGCATCATATCCATAACACTGCATCTCAATAAATAAAAAAGAAGTTAAATACAAAATCCCCAAGAAGTCCCAATTACACTTTGCATATATGTACTCAAATATATGAAAGAGTAAATATATCATCCCATGATATGTCTTCAACAAAATTAAAAGCCAATCATTGAGTCAAAGGAACCAATGATCAAAGAAGAAAATAATCCACAAAATCACGGAAGCATAATAAAGTTCCCTCAAACAAACAACCGAAACTAGAAATTGTTATAGTTTCCCTCAAACAAACAATCACTTGAAATGATTGTTGAAATTTCCATACTTCATTCGAACCCATTCTTCCCTCTTTTGGTCATTCATGGTCAAGAAAGTTTTACACTTTCTTAGATCATCAGAGAGATTATCGTAAACTATTAATTGCATTTTAGAGTCTAGGAATCCCATCTTCATCATTGCTTCGAAAACATCATTAAACACCTGTTCATCCCTATCATTCCCCAGGCTCTTGATAGCTTCGGCAATTTTGCTGAGCTTTTCATCGAAAATTTCATCTAGGGTCATCTTTCGTTTCTGATCTTTTCTCGTAGGCCATACTCTAAAAGGAATAGGTCTAGTGATACTCTCCACTACCACAACACATGCTGCATAGACACCTAGAAGGGCTGCTTTAAGTTGCTTGCTCTTCCTAACATCTTCTTCCATGCTATTGTTTGTGGACATCTTAGGAATAGATCCTAGATGGAAGAAAGCTATAGTATATGAAACCAAGTAGAAAATAAGTAATGTATATGACCATTAAGGTCCATATTCACATAGATAATGAATTGGCAGAAAATGCCACTAATGGAAGAGCATGCCTGATTCCTAATGTCACCAAGTTATGTGCATGGGTATGACTATAGAAATTGACTGAAGCTATCATAGGACAATAAATTACTCATTATGCAATAAGCAATAACTTCTCGTAGGGTAATCACCATCCCACCGGTACTTTGGATGGCAGAGGAAGGGTGGTTCTTATTTCTTACTGAACAGGTCACGAGTTTTTCTCCATTATCAGTCTCCGACCAATTGATTGGGCAGTAACAACCCCTCTGACTGTACACTTATTATGATCTTATAATCCTAGTAGTTCCCCTTCCAAGTGTACCCAATGTCTGTGTGTGAAAATTTTATTGGATGTGTGCATATGAGCAAAAGGTCGATGTCAAAGTACCCAAATGATTTGACTATACATATAATCTTTTGATTAAAAAACTTTTTTTCCAGGACACTACTAATATTTGTACTTACCACAAAATATGAGCAAAGCATAGTAGAGAAAAGCTTGGGGTGAGTTCCCAAACCCAGTCATACAAGGGGAGTATGAATTGATGTTCTAGCATGTCACAATTCAAATATTACAGCAGAAAACCAAGGTGAGTATCCTGCAATAATATCTTAGTTTCTTGCAATCCATAAGGGGTTTCTCTCTCAAATTTTTTTGGAATGAAACTAGGCGCAGAAATACCACATAAAAGCTTAGGATGAGCCCTAAATCAAGTTGCCCAAGGGGTGTGACAAATCCGTGACTTACAAGGTCACGTCTCAAACTATGCTGCAGAAAATACGATAGCACCCTCTACTAAAATCACAATTTCTTTCAATCCACAAGGAGTTTCCCTGTTAAAAATTTTCCGCGTAAAATTCGAACTCGAAAACACAATAGAAAAACTTGTGGCGGGTTCAAAATCATATTGTTCAATGGGATTATGAATGCATGACTTTCACGTTGCAATTTCAGATGGTTTGCATCAAAATTTAGTGCTCCTCTGCAGGAAAGAAACAAAAACAGGCATCTATAAAGTTACATAGTGCAGCAAAGGGGAACATATGGTAAATGTTAGCAATCAAGCATTCCTAAAAAAGCCTGGTGCATGCTTTAGATGTGATTAGTTATATATGCAGGTGCCCTGCCAAGAGCAATATCAAAGACATTCCACCATGATATACTTTTACTAATCACAATTTGGTACCACTAATTCAAGGAATTGAGAGTTTTATTTAGCTCTACTAAATAGCAAAATGGATAGAGCAAACGACCCATAGAAGAACAGGAATATGAGACTTTTAATCCCATGCCAAAACCAGAGCTAGAGACAGATCTTATAACAACGAAGAAAGTCCTCTGTTTACCCTCACCTGAAGGCTATACTAATCAGTTTCTATACATGATGCAAATAGGACTATATATAAAGGTTTCAATTTTTGGGAATGCCCCTTTTGTGAATTCTAATGATCATACCATGAATTTTCCAGAAACTAAACCATTGTCGAAGGAATCACAATAAATAAGGAAAGGAAAAATATAGACAAGGAAAAATAAAGTGGATGACTAAATAAGACAAGGAAAAATAGAGAAAGAAAAAAAGTACAGAAGTCACAAATCACCAGACACAACATTGTGTTCTTTGATGAGGAAGACAACATTGTCTTCTTCGATGTCCATAAAAATCACATAAAAAGCAAACAAGAAATCCCAAAAAAAAAGCAATTGACCGAAAAAAATACAGAACTCACAGATCATCAGACACAACACTGTGTTCTTCAATGAGGAAGACAAGACTGTCTTCTTCGATGTCAATAAAAATCACATAAAAAGCAAACAAGAAATCCAAAAAAAAAAATCCATGGACCTAAAAAATCACAGAACTCACAGATCAACAGACACAACACTGTGTTCTTCGATGAGAAAGAAAACACTGCCTTCTTCAATGCCAATAAAAATCACATAAAATGCAAGCAAGAAATTCCTTAAAAAAAGGCCATTGACCCCCCAAAATTACAGAGCTCAAATATCATCAGACACAACATTGTGTTCTTTGATGAGGAAGAGAACACTATCTTCTTCGATGTCAAAAAAATCACATAAAAAGCAAACAAGAAATCACCCAAAAAAATAGACGTTGACCACCCAAAATTACAGAGCTCACGGATTATCAGACACAACACTTTGTTCTTCGATGAAGAAGATATTACAGATATCACAGATCATCAGACAATAAATCCCTAAAAAGAGTTTCATAGAGATAGTTCTAGCTATAATAATAGGAATCCCCAAAAAAATCTTAACTAAAAATGCCACAAATCTTATGGATTCTCCAAAAAACAACCACAAATCACATAAATTGGCCAAAAAGCATCCATTAATAAACATATCTCGAAATCATGGGGAAAAACTCAAAGATTGAAGAACCAGCAAAACCCTAGCAAGAGAAATGGGTTTAAAAAAAAAAAACAAAATGAACTAGCGTTTTTTCCCCATTTCATGGAAAGAAATTCAATACGCTCCTCAAAAACCAACCTGGAGCTCTGATTTTAATGGCCGACGGAAGGTTGGTGACTCTCAGAAAACCCAACAACAATGGAGCTCGAACTGCTGATGATGCTGCAAGCAATGGATTTTTCTAGCTCTTGGATTATATTTCTGTGAGAAATGAGCACAACAAGCTCGCCTAGCTTTTGGATTATATTTCTGTGAGAAATGGGCATGACAAGCTCATTCTAGCTCTTGGATTATATTTCTGTGAGAAATGGGCACGACAAGCTCGCCGCGGACGACTTCAATGGCAGAGAGAAAATAGAGAGAGAGAGAGAGAGAGAGAGAGAGAGAGAGAGAGAGAGACGAATAAAATAAATAAGAAGAACGAACGAACGACGAGACATAGTACGTACCGTTTACGGTTACGGAACGGTAACGTAACGGTTACGGTTACCGTACGTTAGTTAGTACGT